TTAGGAACATAAAACTCCTGGAGTGTTTAAGATAAATTCAATCATGACTTGCAACAAGCTTGTAGTGGTTATGAAATGTAACTTACAAAACCAACCTTGTGAAAAATATTGTTAATGCAAAGAGTGTTCCAGAATTGTTCATGTTCGATTATGAGAAAACAGTGATGTTTTAAAATGTTAATTCCTAGTCACAAGTCACAATGATCAATAGGATTTAAGGGCTTTAGGAGTTATGCTTATGTGTTTCACACAACTAGTTAATGTTTTATGTTGAGATGCTTCCTACATATCCGATGTCCCACATTTCTGAGTGACCCCAGTATTGACAGTGACCCCTGTATTCACTGACCAGCTGTCACATGACATGACCGGGAGATAAGCCTCCTTCTAGGACCAGCATGGTCTCTGGGGACTGCCCCACTGGTCCCCACACACTAATTAACATGGCTATAATTTGGCCAATTCAAGAATACCTCATCTGAATACCTCATCTACACAGCTGACGACCTGTCGTATTGATTTACTGTTGAATATTCTCCTCTATAAAGATGACCTATCTTCACCCATCAATGTATGCAAATTTGTAGTAATAACTTGTTTTCGTACCACACAATGATCACTGATGGACAATGCTATGACTTGGCTGATACTGATAAAATGGCTGACACTGGGTATTCCGTTGCCAATTTTTTTCCCAAAAATATCAAAACAAACATGTTAATAGGAATATAATATCCCACATTATCTTCCACTGATATACTTCTTTGGGCAGGTCAGGCAATATCTCCAAATAGATCCATGAAAATGGATCATAATAGAGACTATTGTGACATCATCGATCAACATGACATCACACTCTAATGACATCACACCCAGCCAATGACATATCACTGATGTCCCAGCCTTCACAAAATGGAAGAATAATTTTGGATCATAAATACAGTCTCATCCTTGTGCATGTTGATATCAAATATATGTACAATTTTCATTAAAACTTTTAAACTCTCTGTGAGGCTTTAGAATATTAAACACTTATCAACTTGTGTTGATATACATGTACATGTATGCAGTATCAAAAGATACTGAGTTTATATTCTCTAGATATTGGATGCATTAGGCTACAATAAATTAATCCTCAGCATTTCATCTAAAATATTTCAAACTGAATTCGTTTTTACATGTTGACTATTCAAAGTACTTGTCTACATCTTATCAATCATGAATGGGACCGTCTAATGACACAAGTGTGTTTGGTGATGTGATTGACAGACAATAAAATCTATTAATGAATGTATTGAGTGTATTGAGGACAGAATTGTTATTAGTACAAATACCTTAATGTTGTTGTATAATTACAACCCAGAGTTTTGATCATCATGAAAGGTAACCAGTTCAGAGCACATTTCATGTCATTGGTTCTTTATTCTTGGTGCTACCACAGAAACGCTGATCTTACTGATATGCCAATGAATATAACCATATTAACATATAGACACAAAAAAAATGACAAGTGATAAATTCACAGAATGTGTTTCATATTTAAATATGGCAAGGGGAATCAAGGTGATTACATTAATGGATACAGACAAAGATTCCGGAATAAACACACTAACATGATCATGAATGTTAAATGTGGAATTTTAGTCACCTAACTACTCTGAATTACACCAGTTTGTGAAATAGGTTTCTTGCATGCTCCCTGAACCAAGTGAATAGTGGCAAATATAACACATGAAGTGCAACACACGCCGTGCAACAGACTCCCTTAACACAGGCCCAGTAATGGTGCGAACATCTGCTTCACTGACTGGCTACAACCAACCACAGCATGGATAGATTCTATTATGGAAATGCTTATTGATAATACATACACAATTATAAAGACTAAATCACAACACAATATCTGCTAACAGTAACAAATTGCTGATTGATCTTGCTGTTGTACTGAGAATATTTCACGCTTAATTTTATGGTTTACATGTAAGCTTGTTGAGAAAATAAATGTGTCTCATTTTGTTACTGTATTGTTTAGGTCCTTTACTTCAATGAGTAAGGGATGACTGCTAAATCACTCAAATAAGTGAGTGAGTGAGTTAGTTTTATACCGCACTCAGCAATATTCCACCTATATGGAGGTGGTCTGTAAATAATCGAGTCTGGACCAGACAATCCAGTGATCAACAGCATGAACATCGATGTGCGCAATTGGGAACCGATGACATGTGTCAACCAAGTCAGGGAGCCTGACCACCCGATCCCGTTAGTCGCCTCTTAAGACAGGCATGGGTTACTGAAGATCAATATTCTAACTCGGATCCACTCAAATAAGTGCTTGGTACTATGTTTTATACTGTGTTAATCTTTTTGGAGAAGGGTGTGCACATGGTCTCTTTATTCGGTGTCTGCTACCTTGTTTTTGTTGCCTAAGTTTTGTTGCTTTGAATCCCTCTTAAAAAATGTTGTTAGACAAAGAAAAATTCTATGTAATATTATTTTGTATTTTATGGATTTGTGTCTTGTTCAAAAGTCCTCTGTATTACAGAAATCTGGCAAATAAATATACACTAAACATTATTCTCGGTTTTTAAATCTCCATGCATTAAATTTCATCTTCCAAATAGAATTAACAGGCAAATAATACATGCTGAAAATATGTTTATGTTATTTTCTCTCATATCCTTTTATCATATACAGGTCTGGGTGACACTGCTCCAGTCTGTAGTCTCCAGTACAGCAGTAACAGATGTGTCTGACATGTATTTCAGTTTCCACCAACACGTGACCATGCAGAGACTGCGTCTACAGAAAGGTGTCGTGTCATGCTGTGTTGCAAGGATATCAGTGCTGTCTGGACATCAGGAACTAGTTAATCGTCTTACTGAAACTGTTTCATATCCGATTAACTGTTTTCACAATACCAAAATATTCTAAAAGTCTTCCATGCAAGGTAGAACTGTCCAATTCACAATATATATCCTGACTGACATCCATGGTATTATTTCCCATTCCGGATTGACTTACATTTTGTGACACCATTGACAAGCTGTTGCAAACAGTTGCTAATTATTTTATACTGAATACATCAGATTGGGAAAGTGTTATTGATTTCATAACGTAAACTACAAAAATGACTGAATATTCATAAAAAAAACCTTGGATTACAAATGGCAGATTCAACATTTTTAGAACCATTTTAGAATGAGCAGTGTTTAACGTAATCAGGCCAGGCAGCTATTAGTACTGTTTCCTGACTGACAACCAAGTACAGTTCCCTGACAATCAAGTACTGTTCCCTTACAGTTCAGTACTGTTCCATGGCAACCCAGTACTGTTTCCTGACAACCAAGTACTGTTTCCTAACAATTCAGTACTGTTCCTTTACAACCCAGTACTGTTTCCTGACAACCCAGTACTGTTTCCTGACAACCCAGTACTGTTTCATGACAATTCAGTACTGTTCCTTTACAACCCAGTACTGTTTCCTGACAACCAAGTACTGTTCCCTGACAATCAAGTACTGTTTCATGACAATTCAGTAGTTCCTTTACAACCCAGTACTGTTTCCTGACAACCCAGTACTGTTTCCTAACCCAATTCAGTAGTTCCCTTACAATTCAGTACAGTTCCTTGACAACCCAGTACTGTTCCCTGACAATCAAGTACTGTTTCATGACAACCAAGTACTGTTTCATGACAACCAAGTACTGTTCCCTGACTAACAACAGTTCCCTAACAACCAAGTACTGTTTTCTGACAATCCAGTAGTTTCTTCACAACCAAGTACTGTTCCCTAACAACCAAGTACTGTTCCCTCACAACCAAGTACTGTTCTCTCACAATCAAGTACTGTTCCCTGACAACAAAGTCATTCACAGAAGAAAAGAATGCTTGCTGAGGTAATGATCCACTAATGAAGTCTTGATAGTATCTATGGCAACATGAAATCATGAGTAAACTAATCAATAATGTTTGCATTTTTATGTTTTCATGTCATCAGAAGATGACCCATCGTGACATCTTTCAAGATGCTTGATGAGGTTGCAGACACCTAGCTACTGAGAAGTGACTGACTGACTGAGTTTTGGTTTTACACTGCTTTTAGCAATATTCCAGCAACATCACGGCGGGGGACACCAGAAATGGGCTTCACACATTGTACCCATGTGGGGATTCGAACCCGGGTCTTCGCATGACGAGCCAACGTTTTAACCACTAGGCTATCCCACCGCCCCTACTGAGAAGTGACTTCAACAGGTTCAAAGAGAAGATCATCAATCTTCTGGTGAAACAAACACTATGCATAAATACTATGGAGCACCATTGTAATGCAGATGAAGCCTTATCTAAAACCATTTCACTCTTCAAACTTAATTAACCTGCATAACCTCTATACATAAAGTAAACAAACAAGAACAAATCTGATTCAGATCAAAAATTATCTTTCACTGGCTTCAGGCATTTAGGTATTTCAGGCTTCAACACATATGTGAGTGAGTGAGTGAGTGAGTGAGTGAGTGAGTGAGTGAGTGAGTGAGTGAGTGAGTGAGTGAGTGAGTGAGTGAGTGAGTGAGTGAGTGAGTGAGTGAGTGAGTGAGTGAGTGAGTGAGTGAGTGAGTGAGGTTTTACGTCGCTTTTAGCAATATTCCAGCAACATCACGGCGGGGGACACCAGAAATGAGCTTCACACATTGTACCCATATGGGGAATCGAAACCGGACCATCGGCGTGACGAGCAAACGCTTTAACCACTAGGCTACCCCACTGCCCCTCAACACATATGTAAATTGTCTTGTGGATAGAGACTGAGAAGGTGTCAGTATTAGTTTACTCTCTGCATGTTATTTGTAGTTACCCTGCCTGGAAATCTGGGGAAAGGGGATAAAACAAGGACTGGCTGGGTCCGAGTCAGTGTGCTGACTGGGCCATCTGTGTTAAACTGTGGCATAAGGGTGTCAATGGGGTAGCACTATAAACAAGACAGACTCTCCTGCACTGCCTACCTGCTGCAGTTGACATCCCGCTTGTGACTCCTCCACATGAAGCCTCCACCGAAGGCCTCGGATGAGATAGTGAACCCTGTTGGGAGTTTGTCCCAGTCATCAAACCGGACTCCACCCCCTAGGGAGTAAGTGCCTGCCGGACAGGGGTGACACTCCTGGTCCCCTTGGATGTCCAGAAACTGACCTGCATTGCATGTGAATGCTGAAACAGAAGAACCATCGATTACAACTCTAGGTGTGAATATTCCCAATAACCAGGAAGATAAAGTCAGTTTCTTGTTTGTTGTTTAACGCTGCACACAGCAATATTACAGCTATATGATAGTGTCTGTAAATAATCAAGTACAGAACGGACAATCTAGTAATTAACATCATGAACACTGATCTAGGCATTTGGGATTCATTGACATGTGTCAACCAAGTCAGCAAGCCCTGTCAGTTGCCTTTTCCAACAAGCATGGGTTGCTGAAGACCAATTCTAACCCAGATTGTCACAAGCCATAAAGTTAGTGATATCTCCCTCCCTACAAATACGAGCATGATGCACATTCAAGGTAAATCACATACCTCAGAACACCAAGAAAAATTAATACCACCACTTGAGAGTATAACTGATATTATGAGCGACAACTGAACAAAATAATTCCACCAGTTCATGAAATGCTTTCAATGCCTTTCAAAAAACATGAATTAATAATGGCTACTAAGTTTTCAATAAACAGCGCTTTTCATATGATGGCAATGTGATACATGAATAATTGAAAACTCAAAATCACAATTCCATAACAAAACAGCCATGTAATGAAATTATTCCTGAGTTGGTGCATGATGCCCTGCTTGTTTTCAGTATCCACTGCATCATCTGCACTCAGTCAGGTTTCAATGTCACATAATCAACAAGTCTCCAAGCGTTGCTGCCAGATCCATCTTGTCACAAAACAAGCATTGGTTGCTGGCAATGCGTTTTAAATCGGAATTCCAAAAGGGTTGTTTGAAGTAAGATAACTTATTTGCTTACAAAGTTTGAATCTTAGAAAATACAAAAACGAAATCTGAAGTTCCACAGAGGAAAAACAGTTATGCTAATGAATGATCCCCACCCTCAGTTGAACTTAAATCAAACTATTTGCCATGGAAATGCATAAAACGTAGTCATCGACAGAAAAAGACACCAGTTGAGAGCATGCCTGAAATGTGTATGGAGTTTCATGTAGAATTACTGAATGATTTATTAGTTATACAGACTCATGGGGCAAGTCATAGATCACCATTGCAAACACCAATTTTGGTTTAAGATTAATTTGTTAAACATAATAGCATCTTTACAGTCACAAGCACTGACACCTTGGGAAATCTTAACAGTATAGACTCTACAGTAGCAAGAAACTTGACATGTTTAATCAGCTCCAGATAAAACCACCTGGATTTTGTTATTCATTTTTTCTAATGCATCCAAAACCTAGATGAAAGCATTTTAAACTATTTTTAGTACCGGTATATGTTTGTTGGTGTTAAGATCTGATGGGTTGATGAAGGCTCTGAAGGTTCTTAAACTTTTATTCCAAGCACTAACTCTTCTAATCATGTTCATCCCACTGTGTCAAGTAATGAACAAAGAATACTTAAATATTACATAGATTGTGTCTTGACACTAATTAACTTTAAATTTCAATGGCATTGCAAACAATTCACAATGACAGATCATAGAAACTTCACGAAGTGACAACAACTCTCAGAACTGGAGAGAAAAACAATGAATAAACAAATCCACATCAGCATAAAAGACACATCAACTCTCAAGCCGGCAATTGTGGCTTCATGAATTGCTTAAAGACTGTGTTTAAAGCAAATGTCTGTCACATCAGATCAATGGTTGAAATAATGGAAAAAGTTGGCATGAACACTAATGACTTTTCTTGGTAACTGGCTACAAACAGTGCTGGAGTCTACTGAATGTTAAGACTCTGGGGGAAATATTTACAGGACATTAAAGTTCAACTCTTAAAACAGCCTTACTTAAGCTTGGACCATTGTTAAAGAAGTCATAAAAGATTCAGAATTCCTTCTGTTCACGGTCCAATGGCATTGTTAAAATGACAGTCTGTGAGAAAACATTTGAGTTCATGAGTCCAAACATGGCTGTTGGCATAATTTTCAATGGTGACAATGTCTAATGACAATAAACTGAAACTTTGCCTACTTTTTATGTAAAAATATTCAAATATTACACTTAAATTCAAAATGGGACATCTATAGATATGTTGATCTGTGCCCTGTGGTACACCTGAAGCTTCAATAACTGGCCATTTTGAATTACAAAATTATGTGTGTTTTTCATGTTTGCATGGGATGTAATGGAACATTCCATGAGAAGGTATTGGATAGAGACCTGAACATATGGTGACACTAACATTACCTAAGGTAAGATGACTGTATTAGAGTCAGCCCAGCATTAAGTGTTAGTAAAATTCAAATCTTGTTTGTATTACGAGGAGTGGTATCCTAAACTTCTCATGGATGTTTTTCTTTTCAAAAGTGTCTTTAATTTTTTTTAATCATATGTCAATTTAAAAACTCAAAACTATTTTAAACTAACAATTATCACTGTTAAAAGTTATCAGTTCTCAACATACTGTTTCAACTGTGACAAATCCAGAGAATATGCCAGTGTGAATCTGATTGTTACGCAGCAATATAACGACAGCCTGGAACTAATCAAGTCCTGACTAGACAAATCAGTGATTGAATAAGCAATGTCCTATCAGGATACCTTGACACACAATCAAGCAACGCACTAAGCCTGACCATCCAATCTATTCCCTGCATCCTTCGTCCAGTGGGTTACTGGGGACTCTGTACAAGGTAAGTAGGTCTTCAGGTTTGTGGAAACTCAAACTAGGTTCACAGTGGTACGTGTTAGGGGTGAAACGGTACGTCTGTACCACAGTACGGTAGGTATTGCAGTACAAGGTAGGTCCGTTTGATCAGTATAAGGCCTTGCAGAAAATTGACAACAAGAGTCAAACCTTACATTTTTCGGATAACATGGAAACAAATTAACCATCTATATTTTGAATGAACAAAACTGTCATATTATTTTTGATCATAATTTCCCAAAAGTACATTTGTTGTTGTTTAGTACAAGCATCATACAAACACATCCTCATCATTTTTGCAAAACATCACCATCAATACAATCAATCAATACATCAATACAAAACAATCCATTATCTTCAGGGTGAATTTACTATAATGTAATTATCCTTACCCAAGGCTAATATGTATACCAGTACTTGTATTCAGATGCACTTATCATATACTTATTATCTAGGTTAGATAATTAGCAAAATGTATGGAAGGAAGACCAGAAGGCATAAAATTTTGATGGGTTTGCAAATGCTGTATTTGGAGCTTTTGCAGTTGACATTTCCCTATGAAGCACTCTAAAATCTGTCATATTATGACTAGAAATACTGAAAACAAATTTTGGATTGCTAGTATTTCTACTAATACCGCGGTATACAGTTTCACCCCTAATACATATACTGGTTGAGACTGGATCGTACTTACTGCACTCCTTTCCTCGCACAGGGGCGTTGGGAGCTCCCCCTACACACTTGTTGTGTTCTGGCACCGACACCCGCCATCTCATTCCCTCGCTGTCACACTCTGTGTACTCATAGTGGAAGTCATTCTGCAGGACAAACACAATTACTTCATCAGAAGGAATCAATGGTAAAATGTGTTCTTAGGAATCAGAAGGAATCAATGGTAAAATGTGTTCTTAGGAATCAGAAGGAATCAATGGTAAAATGTGTTCTTAGGAATCATAAGGAATCAGAGGGAATCAATGGTAGAATGTGTTCTTTGGAATCAATGGTAGGATGCATTCTTTGGAATCAGAAGGAACCAATGGTAAAATGTGTTCTCAGGAGAAAAAAATATAATTTCATCTACGCACATCAAGATTACCTTACTTCATACTAAACTCAAGTTAGCTCTACATTGCTCATTGCGATACATAAGATGGATATCACACCCAGATACAACATAGCTTCCAATCACAAGCTCTCTGTTGTCTTTAAAAGTTGAAATGACTTTTAGTCAATGTTTTTTGTCAATTATATGTTATTATATATGATATAAATACTTCAATAAACTTGGTTCTAAGTATGCACATGGGGGAACCAGTGGTTTCTCTTCTAGACAGAGATTAATATTGATTATAATTTGCATGGATGATTTGGTGGTGGTGATGGTGGTGGTGGTGGTAGTGGTTGTGGTTGTGGTGGTGGTTGTTGTTGTTGTGGTGGTGGTAGTGGTGGTGTGGTGGTGGTGGTGGTCGTGACTGTGGTGGTGACTGTGGTGGTGGTGGTGGTGACTGTGACTGTGGAAGTGGTGGTGGTGGTGGTGGTGGTTGTGGTGGTGGTGGTGGTGGTCGTGACTGTGGAAGTGGTGGTGGTGGTCGTGACTGTGGTGGTGACTGTGGTGGTGGTGGTGGTGGTCGTGGACTGTAACAGTGACTGTGGTGGTGGTGCCTGTGGGTTTAGACTAAAGTATAACATGTGTTTAACAACTCATGTCATGTCGTGATTTGTGAGTAACTCATTGTACAGGCTTATACCAGGAACAACGTGCCAGCTGACTGAGATACAACAGATTAACATGGATATCCCACTCAGACAAACTGTGCTGACTCCAGACCAACCAGTCCTTGTTTAACCCTTTAATGCTGAACACCAGACAGGGTAAAATAACCTTCATTTAACTACTACTGACATGACACATATCACTACAACATCCTATAACACACCAAACAGGATCCAGGCCGATAGCTAATGCTTTCTCCACAACACCATGGAGGCAGTCTATCAATGTTTCACCCACTATAACGCACCAACCAGGAACAAGAGGATCTGACCACCGACCTCCAGGCCTGAGATAGATGCTTTCTCCACAACACCACGGAGGCAGTCTATCAATGTTTCACCCACTATAACGCACCAACCAGGAACAAGAGGATCTGACCACCCGACCTCCAGGCCTGAGATAGATGCTTTCTCCACTAAACAACAGAGGCAGTTACAGACTATCACATTATCACTTCAACCCCTACAACCGACTACAACAAACCAGCCAGGATATATCAACCAGGCCCCAAGTTCCACCAGCAGTCTGTTAATCATGATCTCCATGATGTTAATTTCCTGTCAGCGCAGTCAAACAATAAGTGCTTTCAACACAGGAGCTGTATCCTGGGATATCTGATAGCACCGCTACTGGAGGTTCATGTACAGGGGATTAAACCATATTTGCATGGCACTCACATCCATCCTAGTTGACACATACACAGTGCTACAGATGATGTCTTGAGCAGAGATGCATATTTATTCATATGTTAGGCATCGATATGGGATATTAATAATTTTCTTCTTGTAGTCAACCAGTTTTTCCTTGGATCTGTGTGTGTGTGTGTGAGAGAGTGAGTGAGTGAGTGAGTGAGTGAGTGAGAGAGAGTGAGAGAGAGGAGTGAGTGAGTGAGAGAGAGAGTGAGATTTTCCACAACTTCTAGCTGTATTCCTACAAGGTCATGGCAGTTTTCACAAAAAGCGCCACATTAAGATTCAAACCTACTTGGTGGGCGGAATTAGAAATCAACAAGGTTCTTGTCACAACCCCATATACCTATAGATTTAGGTGTCCCTTGATTCAAATACCATTCTGTTGCATTGTGTATATCTAGTCAGCATCAGTGATTATCATTAAAGTAACAATGGTGATACATCCCCCGAGTGTCATAACATCTGCTTGGCCACTTAGATATTAGTTTTATTACTAAGCTCCCAGTTTTGTCACCATGGTTACGGGGAGATGAAACCGAGATGAAAAATCATTCGCACATCAATGTTTGTCGTAATTACTCATGTTCAACGTAATTACCAATTGATGTATAAAGATCAGGTATATACTTCATTAGAGGCTTCCAATACATAAAAGTTGAACAAAAACCCAGAACAGTTATTAATCTGCTGGCACATCCGGTGGCAACAGTTTTAGCTGAACTTTAATCAGATAATTTTACAATATTCAGGTTTCAGTTTAAGACTAAAGTAACAGACTGACAAAGGAGAACCAGTCCGTAACACACTGATCTGAAGTCTAGTGAATTGTCTGTTTGTTCAGTAGGGCTGCGTAATAAAACCGGTATTTACCATTGTAACAGGCCAAACTATCCCCCTGGCTAAACCTTCCCCAGGGAAACTTTAGCCTAGGCCAAACTCCCCACCCCCCACCCCTAGGCTTAATCTTCCCCACCCTTGAATCAACTTATAAGGCTCCTTGTTTCAAACCCTTGTTCTTGTATCAAAAGGGGAGATTCTGACCAAGGAAGACTTTTTCTTCCCCAACCTTGTTTTCATGTTTATGTTCGTCTTGAAAAAGTCAGAAACGAAAACAAGACATAGGTGAACATTCAGGTGAACACATTTATAAGATATTCATGTTGATGTCATTGTCAAGTTCCATCAACAATTTACAGGTCATCTTCATCTTCATATATAACATGTACATGGTTCACATTTTGTTTCAATATCCTTATATAAGGTGAGATTAAAAAGACAAGCAAGCATAAAAGCAAAGATATTATATCATTACTATTATTTTATATTATCATTTACTTATTTTGTATGTTTCAATAATTTAATTTACCTGGGTTGAATCACATTGGTACAATGAGTGAAGCCCATTTCTGGTACTGAAAATGGTTTATCTCAAACTCATTACTATATTGAAACTTTCACTATATACCCAGTTTTTACTTGGATGTCCATATCCATTCAAAGTTTTATTCCCTCACTCATGGCTTTTAATATGGCATCCACGTCTGCGACATCAACTTAACAGTTGGAAGCAGATGTAAACATCAACACAACAACAACAACAACCCAACACAATATCTATATCAAATGCTGTATCATCTATCATTCCACTATATTGCCTTATTCTATATTCAAAAGACAGGGTTTGATAAGGGGTATACTTGGCCCATGGATATCTGAATCATATTTCATTCACCAAAAGTGATTATGGATTTGTACACAAGCTTATGTAAATAATGTTCCATTAAATTTATACATAAATACAACAAATATTAGATAATAAACAGCATGATAAGAGAGCAAGCTACCTGTGTATATGACATCTTATTTACCCATGCGATTGATTGTTTACATCTTATGGTGCCATGATTTAATTTGGTCTTCATAGATGGCGACAGGAGCAGGATATAGAGATATATGCCAATCAAACGTGTATGCATTCAAATCACTACACCCAAGTCAGAGGCAAAAATGGACTATTTGGTAAAAATATGCACCAAAATATAAGTCAAAGCTACTCTCGGTTTATAAGAGCAAGGGTTGGGAAGAAGTGGCCTAGCTAGGCCAGAATTTCCCCTTTGATATAAGAGCAAGGGTGGGGAAGAAGTAGCCTAGCTAGGCCAGAATCTCCCCTTTGATATAAGAGCAAGGGTGGGGAAGAAGTGGCCTAGCTAGGCCAGAATCTCCCTTTGATATAAGAGCAAGGGTGGGAAGAAGTGGCCTAGCTAGGCCAGAATCTCCCCTTTTGATATAAGAGCAAGGGTGGGGAAGAAGTGGCCTAGCTAGGCCAGAATCTCCCTTTGATATAAGAGCAAGGTGTGGGGAAGAAGTAGCCTAGCTAGGCCAGAATCTCCCCTTTTGATATAAGAGCAAGGGTGGGGAAGAAGTAGCCTAGCTAGGCCAGAATCTCCCCTTTGATATAAGAGCAAGTGTGGGGAAGAAGTAGCCTAGCTAGGCCAGAATCTCCCCTTTTGATATAAGAGCAAGTGTGGGGAAGAAGTAGCCTAGCTAGGCCAGAATCTCCCCTTTTGATATAAGAGCAAGGGTGGGGAAGAAGTAGCCTAGCTAGGCCAGAATCTCCCCTTTTGATATAAGAGCAAGGGTGGGGAAGAAGTAGCCTAGCCAGAAGGCCAGAATCTAGCTAGGCCAGAATCCTTTGATATAAGAGCAAGGGTGGGGAAGAAGTAGCCTAGCTAGGCCAGAATCTCCCTTTGATATAAGAGCAAGGGTGTGGGGAAGAAGTAGAAGAAGTAGCCTAGCTAGGCCAGAATCTCCCCTTTGATATAAGAGCAAGGGTGGGGAAGAAGTGGCCTAGCTAGGCCAGAATCTCCCCTTTGATATAAGAGCAAGGGTGGGGAAGAAGTGGCCTAGCTAGGCCAGAATCTCCAGAATCTTTTGATATAAGAGCAAGGGTGGGAAGAAGTGGCCTAGCCAGGCCAGAATCTTTGATATAAGAGCAAGGGTGGGGAAGAAGTAGCCTAGCTAGGCCAGAATCTCCCTTTGATATAAGAGCAAGGGTGTGGGAAGAAGTAGCCTAGCTAGGCCAGAATCTCCCCTTTGATATAAGAGCAAGGGTGGGGAAGAAGTGGCCTAGCTAGGCCAGAATCTCCCCTTTGATATAAGAGCAAGGGTGGGGGAAGAAGTAGCCTAGCTAGGCCAGAATCTCCCCCTTTTGATATAAGAGCAAGGGTGGGGAAGAAGTAGCCTAGCTAGGCCAGAATCTCCCCCTTTGATATAAGAGCAAGGGTGGGGAAGAAGTGGCCTAGCTAGGCCAGAATCTCCCCTTTTGATATAAGAGCAAGGGTGGGGAAGAAGTAGCCTAGCTAGGCCAGAATCTCCCTTTGATATAAGAGCAAGGGTGGGGAAGAAGCAGCCTAGCTAGGCCAGAATCTCCCTTTGATATAAGAGCAAGGGTGGGGAAGAAGTAGCCTAGCTAGGCCAGAATCTCCCTTTGATATAAGAGCAAGGGTGGGGAAGAAGTGGCCTAGCTAGGCCAGAATCTCCCCCTTTGATATAAGAGCAAGGGTGGGGAAGAAGTAGCCTAGCTAGGCCAGAATCTCCCCTTTTGATATAAGAGCAAGGGTGGGGAAGAAGTGGCCTAGCTAGGCCAGAATCTCCCCTTTGATATAAGAGCAAGGGTGGGGAAGAAGTAGCCTAGCTAGGCCAGAATCTCCCTTTGATATAAGAGCAAGGGTGGGGAAGAAGTAGCCTAGCTAGGCCAGAATCTCCCCTTTGATATAAGAGCAAGGGTGGGGAAGAAGTAGCCTAGCTAGGCCAGATATAAGAGCAAGGGTTTGAGCTAGGCCAGAATCTCCTTTTGATAAGAGCAAGGGTGGGGAAGAAGTGGCCTAGCTAGGCCAGAATCTCCCCCTTTGATATAAGAGCAAGGGTGGGGAAGAAGTAGCCTAGCTAGGCCAGAATCTCCCTTTGATATAAGAGCAAGGGTGGGGAAGAAGTGGCCTAGCTAGGCCAGAATCTCCCCCTTTTGATATAAGAGCAAGGGTGGGGAAGAAGTAGCCTAGCTAGGCCAGAATCTCCCCCTTTTGATATAAGAGCAAGGGTGGGGAAGAAGTGGCCTAGCTAGGCCAGAATCTTCCCCTTTGATATAAGAGCAAGGGTGGGGAAGAAGTGGCCTAGCTAGGCCAGAATCTCCCCCTTTGATATAAGAGCAAGGGTGGGGAAGAAGTAGCCTAGCTAGGCCAGAATCTCCCCCTTTGTTATAAAAACAAGGGTGGGGAAGAAGTGGCATAGCTAGGCCATAATCTCCCAAGACATGAAAACGATACGTATTGCGATACCCTGATTGAAAAACCAGTATTTTGACATGCATTCGGAAAACTTCGTAACACTCGAAAACCAGGTCAAGTTGCTATCTAAAATCTCAGGGCTTTTTTTGAGAGTGGAGAAAGTAGTTCAAACTAGTAACCTCTGTGTTGATGTTAAATTGTTCTTTTCCTTGTTTCATTTGTGCCATAAATTATATACATTTTTATTTTGTCATGATTAAAGGTTTTTTATAAAAGCTTAATCAAGCATAGTAATTTTGTTGTGTTTTTGCTTTATAAATCAAGCATTAACTTGATTGTTATTGCAATATATTGCAATACATATCTCAATATATGCTTTCGCATCGCGTAATATATCACAATATGAAAATTCTCTGCAATACCCACCCCTATTGTTCAGTAAGACTGGACAACACAATACCTCATACTACATGAACCACATCCAGGGCAAAATGTATTGAACAAGAAGATAAAGTCATCAAATTCGATTTAGGGTCTAACCCCAAAAGGCATTTGGGTACCTAACCCCCAAAAGGCACATCTAGGGATCATGGTTGACATGTGTACCAAGTTTGATGAAGCTAGCATGTGTAGTTTGGGAGATCTGCTCGGACAAGATGACATCCTCATAGCCACAGCATAAGTCACGTTTCCATGGAAACAGCAAAACTAAAATTTGTATCTGGGTCTAACCCCAGAATATTAAAATAAAAAAAGGGTAGATACTGGTAGACAGATGATGTTATTATGGTTACAGTTGTGACGCCGAATCGGCACAATACTAATACATCTGTCACAATGGTATTAGACCTTGCTTGACATGTCAAAGGCGATTTATCAAAAGCTGAAAGTCATCACACTGTAGGCAGAATTTCTATCAATTAATGTTATATCATACTATCATATAAATCATTTCTAAACACCAATCTGACAATCACTGAATCAGATGAAATTTTGTCAGAGTCATAATTATCTGTTTCATCCTAGTCACGCTTTGTCTTTCATTTTATGAAAAATATGCTGTTAGCTGTTTGACCAATGACAGCTTGACCATCATATTTTTGCATTGTGACCATATTTTGCCATTTGACCAATGATAGCTCTGAAGCCACTATGGAAATACAACAGTATTTTGCCAGTTTCATGGAAATTTCATCTTAACATAGAACCGACTACTGCTGGCTTGATCGATTATGAAATAATCACCAAGAATACTAATACATAGTGGTTTAGTGCAGTTACCTTACTGCATTAATTTGGCATCTCATTGTGTATAATTAGAGTTAATTAGTGTGCCAAATACAAAGCAGCAACAGCTCCATACAAGCCACACACACAGAGTGCTCTCATATTTAATGTAAGGCAGTATGTGTGAGAGGAGGAGTTTTCGCTTGAGAAAGTCACAATCAAATTAAACCTGCATTGTTTTGGATAATTTCTTAGTTTTATTAGATCAGAATAAATTCAAACACCATGACCTCTGTACTATCAATGTGCACCATTTGAAAATCGAAGGCGCCAATGTCGGTGCCTGGAATTAAACCATTGCATATATATGTGGCTTTTAACAATCCCTTGAACATTTTTATATACGCAGAGCTGCTTGCAACATTCGAGGCAAGTGTCAAGTACCAAAACTACTAATTAGCCATTAAGCCAACACATTGCAGCTTGCTTGTTGAAACCACCACATATCTTCTCTTCATTGACCATGTTCTTAATCTGAGGTGAGACAATCCTGCAGACACAAGACACGAGACATTGACCAGATGGCCTATTGCTCTTGTCTGCAAGCACCACCTGTCTGAACCACAGCCACAACTATCAGATTCACAGCCGGAACACTACCACAAGCCATGCCTGTGTGTCCACGATTTATCTAGGATTCCAAACAAAGCACTCTTGACAGTCAAAGTGGCAACAAATCTTCCACACTGGGAGTAGCTGTTAAGTTTACACTTTCCAAAGCCACGTGGAGAGTGCTCTAGGTATTTCAACACGGTATGTTAACAATACATTTGATGCAACAATGTAAAACTAAGCAGTGTTAAGAATTAACATCAAAAATTGGTTCTGGGGTCAGTGATGGGGTGACAGAGGTTTGCTCCTAGAGTATTTCAATAAGGCATTTAGGCATTTCCTAAACCTTTGATTGTTAACTTCATGACCAACACACAACTTTCATGCCTAACTTCAACGACTGCTAAGCATTAAAGTCTCCTTACGGGTTCTGTTGTCAGTGAAAGTGAAGACAACGGTCATCACTATGAAATACAACATGAACCATGATGAAGTGGGAAGTTCTTTAATTTGTGAATTTGAACCAACGTTTGCTGAAAACTTGGTACCAAATATTGACCTCTAAACAGGTCAAGAAATACATTTTTATTTTCATGAGTTGCAAAAACGATCTGCCACAAACATCCTTTAGAAATACCTAATCTTTGAAGTTTACACAATGACACAATGAATTGCCACCAATCCTTGTATTTCTCCAGGCTCAAATTAGCGGATGTATGTAAATCTAAAACCTGCACATGTATTGGGAACAGAACATGACCACGATGACAACCGATAATGAATTCACAATGCTATAAACATGAGAAGGCCATTATGACATGTTAGCCAGCACCAAGCACCAAACAGAAAGTCAGAAGCTTTGAAACATATGACATACTCACTGTATTACAAGTGTCCAGACAACGGACCACATTTAATCCAATGCTAGGAAGAAGCAACAGGAAGGGTAATGCCAGAGCCATTGCTGTCTAACCTGCCACGTGGACTGCAGCATGCCAAACACTAGCAAATCGTTCAAGTTGGTATGATTGGTTAATTATTCATCCAAGAGAAGCAGTACAAGAGGAGACCGCAGTGTGGAACACTAGAGATCCCGGGAGAGCATTCTGACCTACTTCCAGTATCTATAGATTTATCTTGGACTCAACATACTGTGTTTCACAAGTCCACACTTCGATACAATACAACTGTTACAAGACAACACCAATAACCATCAGTTTTGACATAGATTGAAAGCCCAAGGTTATAGAGACGGTAGATTTGGTAATAGTGATACTTAAGGGAATAGTGGCATATTGATTCACTGTATAATTGCATTCCCATTACATTTGTCAAATATATAATGTAGAGGTAGAATCTAGTTGAAATGGCTTTTTCGAATTTTGAATACAGATCTTTATTCCATAGAGCAACAGAATAAGATGTTAACAAGTGAATGTTGTTTTCAGAGATTCAGCAAATAACAGCAATATCTGTGAAGCCTGTAATTAATCAAGTCTGGACAAGTGATTGATAGCAGGAGCATCGCTCCATACAAAGAAGGTATCACAAGATCAACTAGGTCACATACACAACACACATTCCCTACAAGACAGGACGGAGTTGCTGGGGATCTATCTTCATCAGGAAACCAATGGGGCAACTACAATACAAACATACATGTTCAGGCTTGTAAATGGTATTTGGTAAAAGGTATTTGGCAAGGACTGTATTCACCAAAGTGAATGAGAGTACCATGGATCACTTTGGGCCATGCCCTTGGGCCATACAGGCACTCAAATGAGAATGGTGCATTCTAATTTGCAAGACATGCCCTTCTTGCAGGCTCCAGAATTGCAAATGTCACAATAGATGTTATAATCCAGCCTTCTAACTTACTAAGATAGTCACATCATACTTGGTTTGCTTTCACAACTAATGTGTCCGTAGAATGTAGTATCAGTTACCTCCTCTCTGCACAATTAAACAAAAATCCATATATAGGTAGTGATGTCATGTATTTTATGAGCTTGTATATAATCTCAATACCTCAATACATTAGTGAAGTGTGACAACCAATGCTAACTGCCTATTACCAAAATCATTATTGTATTGTTTATCATTCAGTACCAATATACATTTCTTGTACCAAGAGTGAAACTTTCAGGATCATGTCAATGCAACGTTCTCCAACCTATTCCAAGACCTATCTCTGCCATTAAGCGGTGAACTGAACATTTATTCTTTAAGTTTAACTGCGCTTTCAGCATCTTCAGCATGGAAAAGCACATAAAACATGACATTATTATGTTTTATACTATAGAAAAAAATAAAAGCTGCAGAAAGTGGTTGGGTGGTCCCGTTACCATCAAATTCATCATCAGCTCAGGTACCCTTGTCCCATCTACACACAGCCCAGACATCATGTAATTATTAGTAGTAGTAGTCAGTCTACTAGTATAGGAGGTATGCAATGGGAATAGTCTCAAGGAAAACAGCTTCATTTTGTTGGCAAAAGTGAACAGTGACACTACAGATAACAATCAAAATGTCATATTGAACTCCCCTGTCGCCTGCAAACAATTTCTTTTTTTTTCATAAGAAAGACCACTTCACAAAACAATTGCCCAATACCTTTTTATATCAAAGAGAGGAAGGTTTTCAACATATGTGATGGAGACATTCACTCAAATAGATGCTTTTTTCCAGACAACTCATTGTAATCTTTCACTGCTAAAAATAAGCACTTTTGTTACAGATTGAATGCCATTGTCTAGCCTTAAGAAGAATACAATGCACATATAGTTGCTAGGCAAATATCATCCAAGGAAAATGAAACCTGCGGAGAGTGTGTACAATTCATTGATTTAATCAAGAATCCATCCCTGCTAGTAAACATCTTTCCATCATTCACCATGTTCTTATCTCTCCATGCCTAGGGAGTGATACTTGGCAAAACCTGATCTTCAGTCGACAACTGGCATATCAATAAATACACTGGCTATTCATTATTAGAAATGTTAACCAGCTTACAGCAGAATTTACCAGACAAGGAGTTTGGTTTACTTGCTGAATACCCAAACAGCCATACTACAGAGGCAATTCAGATTTCTAGGTTTGATATTGGTAAACCTTGAAGTAATCTATGTAAATTATTCAACATGACAGGCCATTTGGAAACATCATGGCCATTACCGAACCAGATATGCAGGATATGCAAATATTACCAAGATAAAAAAAGTATCCCATGTTTGATATCAATTTCTTCATGCAGTGATTTACTAGCTCAATGAGTTTCAACATTTAAGAACTATAAAAAACTGAAATACTACCAGCCACATGGGTACCTTTAACATTTAAACAAACTCACTTATGCTAGAGGAACATTGTAAAATAGCATCCCTTTCACATAGACAGCCAAACTGTAACACCCAGATCCAAACTGTCCCTGAAACAAGTCTTAGAGTCCTAGTATATCTTTGTTTGTTTATCGCTACACTCAGCAATATTCCAGCTTTATGGCAGCAGTCAATCCAGTGATTAACATCATGAACATTGATCTACACAAATGGGTTACAATGACATGTGTCAAACAGGTCAGCGAGCCGGACTACCCGATCTTACGACAAGCATGGGATGCTGAAGACCAATTCTATCATGGAGCTTCACGGGTTCCTTGCATCTCAAGTGAAACAGTGAGTTGGAGTTAGTGAGTAAATACCGCTTTGAATGTGTTAAACATACTTCAGTTACATCACAGCAAGACAATTTGGGTGGGAGTGTTTCAAGCAGTACACACTTAAATTGGTTCACTGACGTATTGAAGCAGTGCAAATTTGTAGCTGGCAAGACGATACTTTTCAAACACTATCTTAGAGAAATGGTAATCAAAAGTACTTCACTGAACAGGTCTGATTCAAACAATTCTGTGCAAACCCTGCACAACATGACAAGATTCTACTATTCTCAAATCTCTGAAACAGTCCAGAAGTCAAGTTTGATAATCAATATTTGACAAGCACAGGTGACTGACTGATCACTTCCTGTTCCTGCTGTAGCACCAAGTCTGCAACTTCAGAAACTAGTCTGAAATCAGGGTCTAGTGACATTTTGTCTGGACTAGTACACTCATCCTAGAACAGTCCACATATAAACTGAAACCTAATGAAAAGGACACAAAGAGACAATTTCAGATGAAGATGTTCTGAACACAGACTGCTATAGATGTTTAATTAAGATGAAGTCATACATTCTAGTCATATATTCTAAAGTAATCAGAAGATCCAAGTAACAATTGGTCTTCAGTAACCCATGCTTGTCGTAAGAGGCAACTAACGGGATCGGGTGGTCAGGCTCGCTGACTTGGTTGACACATGTCATTGTATCTCAATAGCGTAGATCGATGGTCATGCTGTTGATCACTGGATTGTCTGGTCCAGACTTGATTATTTACAGACCGCCGCCATATAGCTGGAATATTGCTGAGTGCAGCATAAATTAAACTCGCTCACTCACTAAAATAATCTCTAAGGTTTAAGCATGAACGAAAACACAAACTCTCAAGGAACAAACACAAAAACATTTCAAACAAAATTTGACTTGGTTAATGAGCCTAATGAAGACTAACAACTAACTGATGTTCTGGATGTTTTATGTTTACAACAGAAAGCTGGGGTTTTCCTTACAGCATCTAGGGCAAACAACACCATGGCCAATTTGAAACTCTGTACAAATATAGCCTCATACATGTCATCAACCTTATCTCACATCTAATGGGAAATGTCCTGTTACACCGGAACTGACATGGCAGCTACATTCAAAATGTAAAGTGTGATGCGTGAGCCAGTTTTATTGTTGTTGATTCTCTTCACAGATATTCTTCCGCAAAATGCTACATTGTACACGAGCATGCTGGAGTTTCATGTGAAGTCTGTATCAGAAGGCTCCTGGCATCATGTTCAAACTTAATGTAAATGAAATTGCGCTTCCTAAACCAAGCTCACCTTTATTATGCTTGGCTTCAAATCAGTGAAGTATACTACCCATCAAAAGTTTAGACTCACTAATGTAAATGTAGCCACTTACTTCAGTCAACGGTTCTAAACTAGATTTTGCAAAATATTCCATACTGTTTAAAGGTACTGTTTACACATGAAGTGATGTATTGTAAAACAAATTCGTAACGTTGAAAAGATTATTGTCATGAGTTCAATAAATGATGAAACTCAGTGAAAATTGGCCAATTCTTAACAAAACTTTACACCAAAATGGAGCTATTCACATGCACAATATTTGCAAATGCTTTTCAGCAATTTGATGCATGATCCTTATGCAATGCATCTGCATAAGGTTTGCAGTTGGTTCCACCAAGTTAGGGGAGAAATTCATCTTCGATGTGACCACATATATATACAAAACATATAGTGAATGCTTTAAGTGAGTCTAAACCTTTGATGGGTAGTATATTTGAATGGCATTTACATTGGGGGTAAAAGTCATGTTAATGTTGGCTGATGATCTAAGACACTGAGAGATCATATTTCAAAGAGAAGATGTAAATATATTATTCAATGTTGGTAATCACATATGACAATGTCCAATCTGAAGTTTAATCATGTTAATGTCCTGAAGTCCTTTGACAGAGTCATCCTTGACCCCAAGCCCACCAGCGATCATTGTCAACAGTTGAACAAAGCCTCAGTGGTCAGTTCATCCAAAATTAACCCCTTGAAAACCATGACAATGGACTCATTAGATGGAACCAGATAGTTCTATTTTGATATGAAATTACCGGTACTCATTAATAGAGTTGGGAACAGTGATCTAGGAGGCTGCCATTGTCGTCTTAGTGCATCATGTAAACCAAATATCTTAAAGGTCACATGCAACGTAAAACACAACTTTACAGATTCTGATGCCTTTCGGTATGGACTTACCGAAAAAATCATCAAAAATGCAAATTCAACTTGTAAAGTTGAAAAATAACGCGATGAAAAAAACGCAGAAATCGTAGTTCAAACGATTCACTAAATTTCCCCCAGCGCTTCGGGGAATTCAAGTGGTTTCAACAGCTGGGCTGCGCTGCGCTCGGCTGCGCTCA